TGAAATTGTGAAATTCCGATTAGTGGAGCTGATTGTTTTGGCTTCTGAGAGGTTTTTACAATAATTTAATAGAAACAAATTTGTATTTAAGTTTTATTTGTTCCTCAGGTTCGACCATCGAGGCCATTGTTTCAATTAAAGAAAAGGATCAAAATGTTGGCGAAACCAAAGGAGAGGCCCGATGAAAGCATTCATTGCAAATTAGATTTTACTGTCTCGAAAACGGCATTAAAAGCAATTCCATCGAAAAGAACGATTTTACTAGCTCTGCCAAACATAAGGCTCGTTGATTTTGGTCGAATTTATTATCAGGTTTCTCCAGCAGCGTTGAAGTACCAGCCAACTCGAAGAATCATCGAGCTGAGTATGCCTCGTGCATTTATTAAAGAAGAATACCAACCACCCAGATTACAGATATACGAGAAACGAGTAGTCGATGAAGAAAGATTGAGAAAATTGGCTTTGGCGAAGAAATTGCTCGATCATTCTGAACAGTTAACCAAGGAAGAACTGGAAGAGCTCTTTACACCTTATGGCATAAAGAGAACCGCGCTATCGTATCAAGTAAGTATGTTACGCAAGTATGTTAGTATATATTTAAAAGTTGAAACAATTCAAGATATAAATTTTTTAGAAAAAAATGAAAAGGTATTTCGGAATTTATGAAAAAGTAATTTGTTAGAAAATATATATTGGTAGAGAGAATGTGTTTTAGAAAGTCGAAATGATGAATCTCTCTTCTGATGATTCTGTTGAAGCTTGGCCTACACAGGACTGAATTATTTTCAATTGTGATATTTCTTGAAATGAATCTGTATTAATTTCACTTAGACGTCACTCTGCTCTGTCTTCGATTTTCATGAATTATTAATTTTTATTATTCTTGTGAATTTGCTCTCTTGAATCGCTAGATTACACCTTGGGTAAGTTTCCTGGCTATGCCATCATACAGGATGATAAAAGATAGGGGAGACGAGCAGTCGAGAACTTTCAAGAAAACGATAATCGAGGAAGAAGAGAAAAGAGGCAAGGAGGCTTTCGTCGAACATAAGAGAAGGGAAGAGAAGGAGAGAAAAGGGAAGAAACGAAGTAGGAAAACTATCGAGGCGGAAGAAGAAGAGAATGTGTACGAAACTGAAGAGGAAGAACGGAAAGCCAAGAGAAGAAAACTCGAGAAATATGCTTGGAGATTTGCACCTTATCCGTGCGTAAATATTCCCATTCCCATCAAGAGAGCAGTTTTGAAAGCCAAAGGTTTCCGACAAAAGTTACAATTATTTAATTTACTGATAAATCAATTACGATCTATAAAATGTCCGAAGTTTCTGATTATAGGCTGTCGTTTCAGCATCTCCACGTACGGAAGAACTAGCTAAGGCGCGCGATCGTAAATATAAATCTTTTAAAATTGATCCTTTTACCGTAAAAAAGGGTGCATTGAAGGCCACTGCTACTGAAAGGATCGAATCTTTAGCGAAACCAACGAGTCCTCGAAGTCCTGTTCAAAGAAAACCGCCGCGAGAGAAAGATAAATTTGGAAAGCCGATATTCGAAATGCCAGTAAAATGATTTAATTAACCCGCTAAAAAGAATTTGATAATATTGTCGTTGTAAAAGGAAATTATTTAATATTTTTTTCTTCTTATAGTAAAATTTAATCTAATGTAATAATCTAATTGAACTGACAATTATATTTATTTTTGCATTGACAATAGTAATAATTTTAATAATTATAATTTAATAATTTTATAGAATTATAGTTTAATATAGAATTATAATATATAGAGTATATAGAGTTATAGTTTAATATAATATAATATAATATAGTATAATTATAGTATAATTATAGTATATAGAGTTATAGTTTAATATAGAAATATAGTTTAATATAGAATTATAATTTAATAATTTTATAGAATCCTCGCCTGGACTCTATAATTTTATGAAATTTTAAGAAATTGAAACTCATGTTTATGTTAAGTCTTAGTAAATTTAGTAAATTTCTCTATTTAATAAACAAATTCATTTGTAGATTTTGTTATAGGTTTACGGCAAAGTTTTGCCGAAAACGAAGCCGTACAAAATGGGCGAATGTCCGGAACCGAAGAAGGAAAAGCGCCCTGCTAAAAAGCGACCGATTGATCCGATTATTTATGAAGCAACCTATGATCCTTGTATCTATCCGGACTTGGCGAAGAGGCAGAAGATCGAACGGAAACGAGCTGAGAAATTATTGAAGAAGGAGCCTCGTAGAAAAAAGGGGCAGAAAAAGAAATCGAAGAGACCTGAATATCGCGATACGGCGGAAGCTGAAGATAAAAAGGAAGAAGTGGAAGCAGAAGAAACGGACGAAGCAGTTGATAAAACTGAAACTGAAGTAACTGATGAACCTGAAGAGGAATAGAAAGCATGAAAACATGAAATCTAGATAATATGAAAATTATTATGTACAATAAAAGCGGAGAAATAAAAAGAAAAAAATAGTGGTGGAAAGGGATTTTTAAATTCAAAGTGTTCAATTCTTTTAATACTTTAATGGTTGTCTGATACTAATGATTTATTTTTTTAATAGTAAGTGAATAATAATTGGACATATTTATTCAAGATGAATATGAATTTTTCATGTTTAAAAATAGAATAAAATAGCTTTTCTCTATTATTAATCACGTTCTGGAACTTATAATGACATATTGATACTAAAACATTGACTTACATTTTGCTTAATGATATGTTCTCAAGGAATAAATGGACAGTTTTACTTTAAAGTTCTCTGGGGAAACGAGAATCTAGAATCTAGTTTGTTATAGCAATCATTCAGTACAGAACATATATAATAATATAATATTATTATGAATGACATTACGTGTATTGTATAACATTATGATATTATATAAAATTTAAAATATTAATTACAATTAATTATAATATTCAATATTTGATGTGTTGTAATATTGTATAATGTAATATAATGTAAGATCGTGTGTTATATTTTTGGATCTCATCCCACTGCATTTTAAAGTATTAAAATTATACTTCAAACTATATATGATATATTTTTCCCTAAATGATGACTTATATTATTACATTTTGATTAAAATTTGACATGTATTCTGTCCACCAGAAAATTACAATTATCGCAATAGTCAATCACGAGTGTATTAAGATAATTTCCCCCTCCGATCAAAGTATATAACGTCCTTTCCTCTTCATTGGCCTTTCAGTGCTCATCAAGCATCAACAACGCGAGCGATCTCTCGAGCAATTTCAATTTTTAACTTTCCTCGTTTGTGCAGCGAATATTCCATTCGTGAGAAAGAAGAACTTCGGATGACAAAATGAAGCCTACCATTTTTGTTTTATATCATCAT